ATTCTTACCAGGGAAAAACAAAGAAAGGAATACAGTTACTGTTTGACAAGACATAAATTAACATCAAATAGGAGGAAACATACACGATTAACCATATCCGAGTTCTAAAAGGCCTATAGAGGCTTGCTAGTTTAAGAGGGTGAATATACACAATGTACGAATTGATCAGCCATATAAATTAGATAATGATGACTGCATCTGCTAATTGCAAATTATTTTTATAAAGGACTACCTAGGAAAGGTTAAATGTGGTCTTATTATGATTATTATCAGGATCTGAGGTAAGATGAGGCTAAAAGCTGAGTTTTAGGATCCCCCGGAGACTGGAGATCAACCAGGATATGAGTTACAAACATTGCAACAATTCAGAACTATTGCATAAAGAAACGCAAAATTTTACATATAGTCTTCTCTTAAAAATTGCTTTTCTAACTAGAAGAAATAAATGATCAGTATAGAAATTCAGATAACATGCAAAAGCGTTCAGAAGAAAATAAAAAAATATATATTACTATATACCACAAAGAGATTACCAGAATTACTACTTTGGGAGTATAACTTCCAATCATTTTGTGATGCAGGGACACCCATACATAAATATCTTTTTACAAATTTGAGATCATACTGATCCTACGATAGCTTGCTTTTTCACTTTTTTTTTTTACAAGTTTCTAATGAACATTTTTTACCAGAAGGGATGTCAATTTTGATACCGTTTCCCCTATGTTTTTCAGGTTTTAAATTTTTAATTATTTTTTGAATAAATAATGCATGCCCATGGTACAAAAGGACGAAAGGATGTCTTTCCCTGTCCTCAGTAACATATTTTCCTTACAAGAGGCAGGCTGTGTTCCCAGTTTCTTTATTAGCCCTATATTTACAATCACTTAATTTTTATTCTCTCTTGCAAATAACAGCATTCCATTTCATTGTCCTGCACCTCACTGTTCTCTCTCAACGTCTTGGAATCTTAGAACCTTCCTTGTCAACCCACAAAGAGCTGGCTCATTATTTTCCTAGTACACAGTACTAAGCTGTGTGGGGTTCCCATAATTTTGCTGAATATTTAGATTGCTTCCAATCTTTGAGTATTAGCCATAAGGCTGCAATAAATATCCTTATTCTTGTGTGTGTACAGTACCTACTTAGGTGACAGAATATGCAGATTTTAAATTTTTCTAAGTAGTTCAAACCGTCTAGGATGGAGATAGTCATTTACTCTCCCACAGGGATGCCCAAGAGTGCCTATTTCCTCATATAGTCGACATCACTGTGTGTTATATTTTTCATGTTTCCAATCTGAGAATTCTATCAGAATTCTATTCAATTCAATCCAATTCTATCAGAGAAAGGGAGAGACAGAGACAGAGAGATCAATTTTAAGGTATTGGCTCACATGACTGTGGAAATTAGCAAGCCCCAAATATTTCGGGTGGGCCAGCAAGGTAGAGACCCAGAGAAGAGCCAATAATGTAGTTCAAGTCTGAAGGCCATCTGCTAGCAGAATTTCCTCCTGCTTGGGGGCCATCAGTCTCTTTGTTCTCTTCAGATCTTCCACTGATTGGATGCAACCCACTTATGTTAGGAAGGGTAATCAATTTTACTCAGAGTCTATAGATTTAAATATTAATCTCACCCAAAAAGACTCTCACAGAAATATCCGGAATAACCAAATATCTGGGCACCAGGACCCAGCCAAGTTAACACATAAAATTAACCATCACACCCAGGGAAAAAGATGAGTTGCCTAAGTTCGCGCAGTCAGCCAGATGGAAGTTTCAGTCTAGATTTAGAACCAAGGATCTCTTTATTTAAGCCCAGTTCACACCTGTAGTCTTAATATTATTAACACTACATTTGACTCCCCAAAGGGTCCAGTTTGAGCAAAGAAACCCTTTTCACCTCTACTTAACATTTAGAAATCTGAGATGATGCTTATCAACTTCACCCCATCCCCTTCTGGCCCTGGGGTCAACCCATAACTCATCTGGGGAGTTGGCTGATATGAGGGCCAACTGTGTGGTCAGAGGACTTCTGGGAAAAACAACAACAACAGGAGAGGAGGGCAGGAGAGTGCTGGAGTGCTGTTTGGGGGAGAATTTACCCATTTTTGAGTCATTTTGTTGTTACTGTTAGGTTTTTTGTTCGGGGTTTTTTTGGGGGGGGATAGTCTTATGAAGCAACCACAGCTTGTATCCTTCTGTTTGTATTTTCTCTGCCTGGAAATAAAAAGCAGGTGTTTCACACTTGTGAAAGGATTGTCTTGGTTTTCCAGAACAGGCATGTAGACCCAAAGCCAAGGAGAAAAGACACCAAATGCTACATAATCTACCTTGAGAGAGTTGCCAACCAAACCCAGCCATTTGTGCCAGTCCTGCCCTCAGGGTTTATTAAGAGGTGTTGGGTCAGTGTGGCTTTTGAGGAGAGGGGCACCGAGGTCTCTACTAATGAGAGTACTCCAAGGAAAAGTCTGTGTCAAACCCTGTATCAAGTTGTAAAGGCTGGAACGGAATTCAATACCTTTTTAAAATCAATCAATCAGTCAGTCAGTCAATCAATTAATTAGAGAGCAGGGGAAGGGCAGAGACAGAGGGAGAGCCCCAACACGGGGCTCGATTTCACAAACTGGAAATCATGACCTGAACCGAAATCAAGAGTTAGATGTTCCACTGACTGAGCCACCCAGGCGCCCCTCAATGCTCTTTTTCATAGTCTACCTATGTGGTAGGAAAATACAGCACAATGATAACTTTTTAAAAATACTAAAAAGGCTCTCGTTTGGATTCCAGACCTTTCTTGTGGCTTTGTGTGACAACGCGATCACAATTTCTGAAGTCTGCCTTCTGAGACACAGGGGAGGTAGGAGAGAAAGTGGGAAAGGTATTCAGAGCTAGACTGCTGTCTCTCTGGGTCACTCCCTCCTCCGGAGTCTGGGAGAAGACTTTTGGATCACGTTTGAGTTTTAAATAAGAAAATAAACAGGACAGTGATTTAAATATTGAAATGAGATGGCAGTGGCTACAAAGTTGCATTATTTAGGGACCTACTCCTTGGTGTCAAAGGAGCAAAACTGACTGTAACAGGTGGGGGCAGTTGGGGAAACACCGCTTGGGGTTTTTATCCCGAGGAGGTTAGGATCTCAAGCCATTTACCTGCAACACAATCCCAGGAGCTGAAAGATGCCTAAGGCTCTGACAGATGACCTTGTGATTTCCCAGGATGCTGCAAATCCTTGATCTGCCTGATGGATGTGAGAGCGGGCACTGCCTGGTTTCTGGGAGCAGTGTTATCAACATAAATTAGTAATTTGTCTTTATTTTTAAGAACTTCTATTAGTCAATGACAGCTGCACCCATGCTGGTCAGATGAGCAGCAGGGGTCAGGCTGCAGGCATTGTTAACTTCATGGAATGAGGAGTACAGATCTTCCTTGACCTGTGATGCGGTTATGTTGCCCTAAACCCATCATAGGTGGAAAATATCCGAAGTCAAAAATGCATTTAATGCACCGACCCTACTGAACATCACAGCTTAGCCTAGCCTACGTTAAATGGACTCAGAACGCTTACGTGAGCCTACAGTTGGGCAAAATCATTTGGGAGTCTTGAATTTTAAAACTTTTCTCACTCTTGGTCAGTGGTTGCTAGGGCTGAAGGTGGGCGGAAGACTGGACTACAAAGGGACAGGAGGTAATTTTGTGTGTGTGGCGGGGGGGAGGTTGTGGGAAGGTTCTATATCATGGTATCGATTGTGGTAGTGGTTACATGATTATGCATTTGCCAAAATTCACAAAACCAAATATAGTTGAGTCTTACTGTATACATTATACTTAATTTAAAAGGAACCCGACTATTTCTCAATTTTAATTTGTAATGGCATAAGTATAGATATAACCCACATGAACAAAAAGCTCTCAATTTTTTTTTCAAGCTCAAATAATTTTTAAGTATACCAAGGGGTCCTGAGACCAAAAACTTTGAGAACCACTGAGCTAAAGCATTGATTTCTGTACTAAAGCAGGCGCCATCACTTGCTCTGGAGTTGGAGAAAGTGATTAAAAGGGAGGGCACACATTCTCTCTGGCTCTAATGCTGAAAAGTTGTGTTGTCCAATGTGGTAGCCACTGGCCACGAGCAGCTATGGAGCACATGAAAAAGGAGCTGGTTCAAATTAAGATGTACTTAGACAAAAAAAAAAAAAAAAGAATGTAAATGATCTCATTAATAATGCTTACAAAGAAATGACAATATCTTGGACATATCGGGTCAAGTAAAAGCTATTGCTAAAATTAATTTCAGGGGCGGGCGGGGAAAAAAAGAAAAATAAAATTAATTGGATTTTTTTTAACTTTCATGTGGCTATTAGATCATTTAAAATGTGACCTTGGTTATATTTCAACCGTACAGCGCTATTCTGGGGACACTTAGACTTCCCTGCCAATCTCCTTTCCTCCATTTACAAGCTACTTGTAAGCATCGTGGGTCTCCTGGGATGTGAAGTGTGGGTCATGATACGGGTGCTGTGAAGGCTGAAAGTAATGCATGTGACGTACTCGGCAATGCACGCAAGTACACCTTATGTGTGGTGGCTGTTATCAAAGGCCTAGGTTTCTCCATTGATGCCGTCAGAGACGGACCACAGGCTCACTAAGGCCCTTCCTCTGCAACCTATGCCCACTCTGACAATAATAACTATTGGTGGCCGAGGCCTGATCTCCGCTTTCGGGCTGGGCTGCCCTCTTCATAACGAAGAAAATTAAAATGACCCCAGGGGCTGGAAGTGGGACGCCTGTATGTAAAACGAACGGAGCCCGAACAAAACTTGAAAAACCAAGCGGGCCGCAGGGCCTCCCTCGGTAACCGACGCCCGCGCGCGTTGCTAAGCGGGGAAAAAGAAAAACAAGGATGTGGTCCGTCGTCTCTTGTCTCCGGCGGCGGCTGCTTCCGGTTCTCCGGGGAGCCGGTGTCCGGCCTACCTTCCCCGGAGGAGCTGGGACTGTGGCCGCGGGTTCCGCCGCCTCGGGAGCCTTCGGAGCCCTCAGTCCAGCGAGGTGGTGGCGGCGGGGGGCGCGGCGGCGGCGGGTCTCCCGCGCGGCCGCGATGCTGAGCTCCCGGGTCCAGGCGGCGATGACCGCGGCCGACAGGGCCATCCAGCGCTTCCTGCGGACCGGGGCGGCCGTCAGGTGAGCCTGGCGGGGGGGGGGGGGGGGGGGGGGGGGGGCGGCCGGAGAGGCCGGGGCCAGGGTCCCCAGCCTGGGCCTGTGGCGGCCTTTTCACGGCCCTGGCTGGGTCCCCGGGGCCGGAGCGAGCATTCTGGAGGTTTCTGCGTCGGGCTTGGTAGGAGACCCAGGCCCCGAGGCGGGACGGGGGATGGGCCTCCAGGGCCTCCAGTCGTTCGGCAACGCAATTCTGTCAGCCCTCCCCGGTTCTGCCAGCGCCCCAAATTCTCTCAGCGCCCTGCCCTCCCATCCCCGCCCGCCACTGCCTCCTCCAATCCTGTCCTTGTCTCCAGAACTTCCAGACACCCTCGGGCTCGTCAAAGCCCCGAATTCTGCCAGTGCCCCTCAGACCTCTCAGGGCCTCGCAGGCCTCCCAGGACCCCTTAATCCTTTCAGGGCACCCCCAGTCCTTCCGGACTCCCCAGCCATGTCAGTTCCTGGTCTGCCTGCGCTCCCCAATCCTGCCACGGTGCTCTCACGCCCTGCAAAGCACCCCGGGTCTTCCTCGATTTGGGCAGTACCCCTATTCCTGTTGCCCCCCATTCCCCACCGCCTAGTTAAGCCAGGGATCCCTGATTCTCAATCTTATTAGTGAATCTCTATCTTGCAAGAGTCCCTGAACCGATCAGCACCCCTTAACCTGTGAAGGCTTCCAGTCCTGGTATTGCCTCCCATTCCTGCTAGGAACCCCAATAGTATGGGTCCCCCAATCGTGTCAGGGTCCCTGTTTCCCTTCTCTTACTCATCCTCCCACAGGCTCCAGGCTTGAGAGCTGAGCGCTGCACCCCCATTCCTGACCCTAAATGACTGAGACCTGCCGCTCATCTCAGCTTCCTTCCTCTGGAACTGGAGCAGGTTTAGGGAGCTCCCAGGGCTGGGAGCCCTCAGCGGCCGCCCTGTCCAGTGCCCCCATTCTGCAGGTGGCAAACAGGCCCCGAGTCGGCTTTGCCTACAGCTGACCTCACAGTAGAGCTGGGGGAGAAGACAGGTCTTTTTACTCCCAGACCCCACTACTCTCCTCGGGTTGTCATTTTGCAGGGGTTTGGGGTTTCCGGAGTCACCATGTGCTGGGGTTTTTGTCCATACCCTGCGGAGGACCTGGGCAAGCCCCCGCTCCCATCGCTTCGACGCTCTGTCCTTCAGGTTCCCGCACGAGGTTTGTGGTTTCCAGCACAGACCCGGCAGCCCGACGGGCATGCGCTCAGATCCATGCAGCCTCTCTCACTTTGACGGAGTTGGCTCGTCTCTTGGTTTCCTCATCCGTGAAAATGGAGATGATAATAGAACCTACCTCCGTGGGATTGTTCTGAGGATGGGATAAGATCATCACAGTGCCTGGCATAGAGTATGCACCCCTAAATATTGGTGTTTGGTTAGGGGCGCCTGGGTGGCTCAGTCGGTTGAGCGGCCGACTTCGGCTCTGGTCATGATCTCACCGTTCCTGGGTTCGAGCCCCCTGTCGGGCTCTGTGCTGACAGCTCAGAGCCTGGAGCCCGTTTCAGATTCTGTGTCTCCCTCTCTCTCTCTGACCCTCCCCTGTTCATGCTGTCTCTCTCTGTCTCAAAAATAAATAAATGTTAAAAAAAACTTTTTTTATGCTTTCAGTGATGGTTCTTTTTAACCTTTCTGGGCAGTTTTGTTAACGCACCTGTTGTGTGGAAGTCAGCGCAGTCGTGTGCCAAGAAATTCAAGAATAGCTTTCACAAATGAAATTGAGATTATAATACTTAATAGTAGCAGCTAACGTTTATTAAGCCCTCTGTTGTTTCTTTTTAATATTTACTTATTTTGAGAGAGAGCACGTGAGCGTGGGAGGGGCAGAAGGAGAGAGAATCACAAGCAGGCTCCACGCTCAGCGCGGAGTCCCGACGCGGGGCTCGATCTCACAACCGTGAGATCACGACCTGAGCTGCTGTCAAGAGTTGGATGCTTAACTGACTGAGGCACCCAGGCTCCCCGAGCCCTTCCTTTGCATCCTGTGTACTTGTGCTTGTTTGATTCTGAGAACTCCATGAGCTGGATCTCATGATTGTGCCCATTGCACAGGTAACAGAACTGAGGCTGCGAAAGTGGAATGACGCCCTGACGAATAGACAAACCAGAATTGAGCCAGATTAGTGCACTTCTCCTTTCTTAACCCAGCTCTGTGCATGTTCTATGGACTCTGTCTTAGGAGAACAAAGATTGATTTGGAATTCCGTTAGCAGTTATGTATCGTATTAGTTGTGACCTTAGGGAGGTGTTGGTTGTTGGAGACAGAGTTACTCATATCACTAGCGACTCCTCATTGAGTTAATGTTGACTGAGCTGAGCTCAAAACAATGTTCACGTGAGCCAAATATTGGCATAAGAATATATTACACACACATATATACACATATCTAACACATACATACCAGTATATGTTGCATGTATGTGTATACACACACACACACACACACACACACACACACAGTTTGTCTTATTTGGTGGAAATACATAACTTTGCATAAAAACAGTGTTTTAAATTGCTGAAATGTCTTCGTTTGTAGTAAAATAACTTCAGTGTTTAAGCCAAGCCTCAAATTAAGAAATTTTTAATTTAGTAAATGTTTAGTAGATCGGTTATGCTATATATAGTATGCCCCTTCCCTATTTAGTATTTCTATATGTTTTCTCCAGTATCCAGTCATTCAGTAAATATTACTAGGAACCTGTTAGTTGCCAGGCATGATCTAGAGACTTGGGATATGCCAGTGAGTAAAAGAGACAAAGATCTCTGCCCACGGGGACTTGCATTCCAGTGGGGGAGACAGACAATAGCCCTAGTTAATGAGTGAATGTTATATTAGAAGGTGGTAAAAAGAAAAAGCAGAACTGGGTAAAAGGAACCAGGAGTACAGGTTCTAATTGTTGGTTAGAAGTGAAGGGGAGGGGGACGCCTGGGTGGCTCAGTTGGCTAAGTGTCCCACTTTGGCCCAGATGACATGATCTCATGGCTCTTGAGTTCGAGCCCCGCATCATGATCTCACGGCTCCACGTGAGCCCGGTGTCAGGCTCTGTGCTGACAGCTCAGAGCCTAGAGCCTGTTTCGGATTCTGTCTCCCTCTCTCTCTGCCCCTTCCCCGCTTGCACCCTGTGTCTCTCAAAAATAAATAAACATTTAAAAAAATGAAAAAAAAAAAAAAAAAGAGATGAAGGGGGAGGTAAGAGAGAGCCATGCAGTGATCCGGCAGGGGGGAGCATTCTAGGCAGAGGGAGGAGCAGTGCAAAGGTCCTGAGGTGGCCGGTGTGACAGCAGCGTGGGAGGCAGAGTAAGGGGAGAACCTTGGCATGCCCCCTGAGGGAGATGGGGCTTCTGTGTTCTGACTTCGGTTTTAAATCCTGACGTCTGAACGTGCTGATTTTCAAGACATAATCCTAACGGTATCATTACTTCAACTTGAAAGTTAGGTGTTTGGTGGGCCATTGGGTTATTTTGATGAAATGTTATTTCTGTGTACCTGTGTCTATAGTCCTACGTATTGTGTCCATGATGAGGGAAGACTGTAAGCCTATTTTCTTTTTTAGATATAAAGTCATGAAGAACTGGGGTGTTATAGGGGGACTTGCTGCTGCCCTTGCCGCAGGGATCTATGTGATTTGGGGTCCCATTACAGAAAGAAAGAAGCGTAGAAAAGGTAAGAATGAGGTCATCGCAGCCTAGTCTGGTCTGTGCGCTTGACCCCAGCCCTTCCCGTCCCAAAACAGTACAAAAAAGGGAGGGTTTTGTTGTTGTTGTTGTTCTTTTGTATCTTCGGTTTCCGAACAGTACTTTCTTTTAAAGAGAAGTTCATTTTAATGACTCATTATTTTAGACCCTGTAGTGAAAAGATTTCTGTTTCACCCCCTCTACAGTCTCGAGTTTGAGACGTGCTCCGTAATGAAAAAGTTCACGTGGCTGTTCTCCTTAACATGGTACTTGTGTTGTTCAGTACCACAACTGACTCATTGTGTGACGCGTTTGTGGGTTCACTGACTAGCAGCTAGTCACGAGTAAACGTTTCAAGTTAGTGTCTTTAATACAAAATTCTCTTTCCTTAAAGAAGTACCCCCTCTTGTAAATGCTGCTCTCACTGTGTTGATTAAAAGTCAGCAACAACAAGCAAACCAAAAAAGGGATAGATGGAACAAAATGCTGATCCTTGTTAAATCTGGGGGTGGTTCTGATTAGAGTCCGTTATATATCCTCTCTTCTTTTGTGCACGTTTGAGAACTTTGCATTAAACAAAAGTTTCTTAAAAAAGTTTCAGCAGAAGAGGGAAGTATGTCAGGTTTTGTCGATCTCTTTGCAGAAAGACTGATCACGGTTGCTATGGTGGTGTCTTTCGAACTGATTCTAAGAACAAGATCATTGTCCTGGGGAGCAACAAAAGAACAGTTGTTTTCTTCTGTTCTGAGAAACGTTGCTTTCTTATCAAAGGAGGGAGAAAAGGGGCGAAAGAGAGAGATGTTGTTACCAAGTGTTTTTGTACACTCAGCGTAAACCAAACTGTGCCACACACCGTGGCGGCCTTCAGATGTGACACGTGACGGGGGAACCTCCTTCTGTCGCTTACAGTCTCCTGAAGGAGCCACACTAGGACCGGGCCTGGGCGCGGCTCGAATGCCTGGCCCCCGATGTCAGTGGGCACAGACCTTGTGAGATTGGGATCTTAAACTCCAGGCCACGGTGCAGAAACTCTGGCTCCCAAATGGGAGAGGAAGAAGGAGCCGGTCCCATGTGATGTGCTTTGTCTTCTTCCCCCGACTTTTTCAGGGCTGGTGCCCGGGCTGGTCAACTTAGGGAACACCTGCTTCATGAACTCCCTGCTGCAAGGCTTGTCTGCCTGCCCCGCTTTCATCAAGTGGCTGGAAGAGTTTACCACCCAGTACACCGGGGATCAGAAGGAGCCCCCCCCACACCAGTATTTATCCTTAACCTTGTTGCACCTCCTCAAAGGTATCTAACTGGGAATTTAAAGGGGATTGTGTGCGTTTTGAAAGCAGCAGCCCAGGCGACAGGCAAAGGGTTAATAGCCTTTGTGTGAAAAAAGATCATACAGATCGTTATGGAAAACAAACCAACAAAACACGAAGGGTCCAGTAGATACAAACAGCTATTTTTTTAATTAAAGATGTAGCCATTTGTTTTTAAATTATCGTCAGCTCATTAATAGCTTTTTTAGGGAAGAAAACACATCCACTGCCACTTAAGCATTTTGATTGTGAGAAGTACTCTGGTTTATTAAAGTTTAAAGAAAAGAAGTGTCTTAGCCTCAGAGGTAAGGTAATTCGCAGAAGAAATAGTACAGATTGTATGCAGGTTCACAGTGTATCTAACAGACCCTCAAATATTCAACGTGGCCATCATCAGAGAAATACAAATAGCATACCGGAGGGGTTATCATCGTTTTGCTTGTCAGCAAAGACTGAACAATCCACAGTTCTGATGGGTGACGTGTTCACATGTGCTGGTGGTGGTGTAATGTAGGGCAGACTTTCTGGAAAGCAGCTTGGAACCACACAGTGATAGCTTGCAAAATGCCCGGTTCCACTTGACCTAATAATTCTGCCGACCGTGATTTGCACTAGCCTGAAATGGAATTCTGAGAGCAAGCCAGTTGAGGAATGGCTGAACAGCAACCCCGAGCTTGGGAGGTCACACATATAACAGTCTTGGTAAAGGTTGTATTGGTAAAGGAAATCACCAGTCCAACTTCATTTTTAGGCCAGTTCTTTTGACTGTAGAACTAGTTTTTCCTCCCATAACATCTGTTGACATCCCAAGGACATTCCACAGAACACGATTTGGGAAATGATATCGTATGTACAAAGATCTCCCAACACCTTGTTACAGAGGAGGGCAGGGGGTAGAAAATGTCAATGTCCAGCAGCAGAATGATTAAGCAGTCAACGAAATATTACGTAGCCGTTACGAATCATCTTTATAAAGTGTTGTGTTGTATTGTTTGTTTAATTTGGGAGAGGCATAGGCTATAATACCGAGTTTAAAAAGAGCAGTGTTCAAAATACGATGTAATTTGACTTCAGCAAAGCAAAAATGTCCACAGATAAAGGCCGGACAGGCCGTTTTGGTCTTGTGCAATTGACAGTTTGGGAACATTAAGAGAAAACAAAACAACCATATTTCTACAGCTTACTCTCACAGTCAGGAAGAAAATGGATTTAAAAAACAGCTCATTGTTGCTTCACTGGGGTGTTTTCCCCGGCGAGCCCAGCCTGACACGGAAAGCGAGTTCTACTGTTCTGTATTAACGGGCAGTTTGAAAACAATTTCTTCTAGGGGTGCTCAGGTCATGATCTCACGGTTCATGGGTTCGAGCCCCACGTTGGGCTCTGTTTTGACAGCTCAGAGCCTGGAGCCTGCTTTGGATTCTGTGTCTCCCTTTCTCTCTCTCTCTCTGCCCCTCCCCCGCTCACGCTCTGTCTCTTTCTGTCTCTTTCTGTCTCTCTCAAAAATAAACATAAATAAAAAATTTAAAAAAAATCTTCTACTACCCTGTTAAAAATAAATACCATTGGGGCGCCTGGGTGGCGCAGTCGGTTAAGCGTCCGACTTCAGCCAGGTCACGATCTCGCGGTCCGGGAGTTCGAGCCCCGCGTCAGGCTCTGGGCTGACGGCTCGGAGCCTGGAGCCTGTTTCCGATTCTGTGTCTCCCTCTCTCTCTGCCCCTCCCCCGTTCATGCTCTGTCTCTCTCTGTCCCAAAAATAAATAAAAATGTTGATTTTTATTTTTTTTATTTAAAAAAAATAAAAAACAATAAATACCATTCCAGAGTGAAAAGCTGAAATGTCCCTACAGGCAGTATAATGCAGGTTCAGGAGCCGTCCTAGCGTGACCTCGGGTCTCCCCTTTTCACACGCGTGATGCTGTGCTGGGAGCCAGAGCCGTGCAGGGCCACTCCACCTCAGTCTGTTCTCCCCTCTCTGTGTCTGCTTCTCAGTGGCTTTTTATTTTGGTTTTTAGAGGTAATTTTTAATTACACAAGTAATGCATGAATCAATTCTCCTTGTAGAAAATTAAACCATTACCTAAGGCCATAGTTCCCTTTATCGCTGCCCCAATCCTGTTCCCCTCCTTTCTTCGCAAAGTAAAATATAAGTGTGTCCTTCCAGGCTGTTTTCTATGCATTGAAATATGTTTTTAAGTACCCACAACAATTATATATTGTCTCATTTATGTTTTTTCCTAAGCAAATAATATAATACATATTGGAGAAATGTCCATGTCCCTACATATAGCTTTACCTCCTTCATTTTTTTTCTCTTTTGTGAGTTTATTGGTCTTCTGTCTTCTGTGAATTGCCTACTCATTTCCGCTGCCCGGTTTTTTGTTTTTGGGAGAATCCCAAGCAGACTGCACTGCCGGCGCGGGGTCCAAGGTGGGGCTCGAACCTGTAAACCGCAAGATCGTGACTTGAGCCAAAATCGAGAGTCGGATGCTTAACGGACTAGGCCACCCAGGCGCCCCTCCGTTGCCCAGTGTTTAAAAATTGTGGCAAGATACCCATAACATAAAATTTACCATCTTAACTGTTTTTAAGTGCACATTTATGTGGCACTGAGTACATTCACATTGCTCTGCAACCATACCCCTCTTCATCGCCAGAACTTTTCCGTCATCCCATATCGGAATTCTGTATCCGTTACGTAGTGACTTCCCATTCAGCCACTGTTTTACTCCCTGTCTCTGAGTTTGACTCTGTATCTCATAGAAGTGGAGTCATACAATATTTGTCCTTGTGTGTCCGGCTTGTTTCGCTCAGCACAGCGTCCTTGAAGTTCATCCGTGTGGTAGCAGGTGTCAGAATTCTGTTCCTTTCTAAGGCTAACTATGAATAATGCTCCATTGTATGTACACACCACGTCTTATTTATCCATTCATAAGTCAAGGGACGTGTGGGTTGTTTCCACCTTTGGCTTTTGTGAACGATGCTGCTGTGAACGCGGGTGTGCAGATACCTACCTGCTCGTGTCCCTGCTTTTTATTGTTTCGGTTGTATACCTCCAAGTGGGATTGCTGCACCAAATGGTCATTCTGTTTCATGTTTTGAGGAATCACTATACCGTTTTCCAGAGCAGCTGCACCAGTTTGCATTCACACCAACAGGTGTGCGGAGGGTTCCGGTTCTCCACCTCCTCGCTCGCTCACGCTCGTTATCGGCTGTCTTTTTGATAGTAGCCATAATGGGTGTGAAGTGATTTCTCATTGTGGTTTTGATCTGCATTTCCCTACTGATAAGTGATGTTGCGCGTAAGTTTTGGTGTGGCCATTTGTATAGTTGTTTTGATCGTTTTTTGTTTTGTTTTGTTTTGTTTTGTTTTGTTTTGTTTTGTTTTGTTTTTTATAAATGTCTACTCAAGTCCCTTGTCCGTTTTGGAATTGGGTTGTCTGTGTTTTTGTTGTTGAGTTTGGGGAGCTTTTAACACGTTCTGGATATCAGCCCCTTGTCAGATATGTGATTTGCAAACCTCATTCGCTTTCACAATTGTGCAGTATGCAGAACGTCAGGATACCTCAGTTTACTTAGCTGTTGGATTCCGGTGCCTTGTGGTCATAGAAGGGCCCCAGCGAACGGTCTTGTATGTGCCCCTAGTGCACACGGGCCTGTGTTTGCCTGCAGTAGGTCCTGAGAAAGTCAGACTGCTGGGACGTGAATCATAGGACATAAAAATTAGTAGATATTGCTAAATCACCTCGTGGGATTTTAAGCAAAATTGGGCTAAAGGAGACATTAAAATTTTTCTTGAGAGGAAAAAAGCTACCACACAGGCTGCTTGAGGGGTGTAAGAGGAAGAAGGAGGTTCACTTGCTGTCCTAATGGGCGCCCTTTGTTCTGGAGGGTAAAGATGTGACACCAGGGTCCTTGGTGCTAAGAGGAGCCTCGGGACTTAGCACTGGCTCCCAGGGCTGCTGCTTCTCCACAGGCGGGGGGGGGGCCCCCCCAAAGTCCCCACCACGTTCAGGCTCCTGAGTCAGAGCCTGAAGTGTCCAAAGGACTCTCTCCAGTTTACCAACTGCAAATTAAAGAGAAGCAACAGGCTGGCTTAGTCGGCCTGGAGGTAGTTGAACTCGGGAAACTGCACAGAGGTGGCAGGCCCTTGTATTTTTATCTCCCACACTCTGTCTAGCAGCGCTGGGCCGGCGAGACATGCGACGGAAGGGGGCCGTCAGGATCAGGAGTCCGCAAACTCTGGCCCGCGGGTCAGGTCTGCTCCGCGGCCTGTTTTTGCAAATAAAGTTTTATTCAAACAGCCATGCCCACTTACTTGCGGTCTGGCTGCCTTGGTGCCACAGTAGCAGCGTTGAGTAGTCTCGGCAGAGCCCACAGAGCCTGAAACGCCTACCGTCGGACCCGTTACAGAAACAGCTTGCCAACCCTTGATCTGGCTGTGATGACAGTATAGACTCGTGAGCCCGTCACACGTTCATTTTTGTTTGTTAGGCTTGGTTTTACATATGACTGAAAAGTGAACTACTCAGCAGACCCTTTCATGCTGCCCCGTAGAGCTTGTCCCGTGATAATCAGAAACTCCAGTGCAGACAGATACTAGCAGAGGCCCCGTGGCCCCAGAGAGAGTCCTGTTGGGTGAGGTGGGGTGAGGGGGTTAAGCACTGAGTGTGGGTTGGACTAGGTGAATCTTGAGGGGCCTCCCGCCCTCAGAGTTGTGAGTTAAAATCATTTCATTCAGGAGGAATCTCGCAGCAATTTATATCGATGACGATAATTCAAATAGCCGAAATCAGTTACTTCATGTAAATGCTATAGCCTCATGAAAGATCACGTTCCTTCAGCAAATACGCAGTGCCTAACAGCCCTCTGTGCAGTGGTTGAGGCTACAAAGAGGAATAATGAAAGAACTATAACTCAAGGTGGATCTTACAGCGAGAGGCTTAATTAGCTTTGATACGTTGTGCGGGACAGGTTTCCTGGCTTGTTGTGAGGCTAGTGAATTTACTAATGGCGTTACCTTTTTGGTTTCCAGCTTTGTCCTGCCAAGAAGTTACTGACGATGAGGTCTTAGATGCGAGCTGCTTGTTGGATGTCTTAAGAATGTACAGATGGCAGATCTCTTCATTTGAAGAACAGGTGAACCTCCCATTCTGCCCACTAATGCGCTGGGGCCTGAGCTCGCGATGACGGCTGAAAAGTAGCCTCGTTGCTAAGGCATGAAGAAAAAAATGCCAGTATTGACCTTGCGCTCGCCTGGCCTGAGTGTACATTTCTGTGGCATTCTAGCCTGCCTTAGTATTCTGGGACCAGATCGCAAGTTCTGTTCCCATTCTCGCGATCAGAGGAGAAATGCAACGGTTTTTGTTTGTTTCTTACCCGTTGGGTGGAAAGGTTAGCAGGGTAGGGCAGGAACACCTCATTGCCAAACAGCGAACCTCTTTTTTGTTCTGGAGTGACTTTGCACGTCATTGGATACCAGGGCCACCTGGATCTTCCAGAGAGAGGCGGGTGGCTTTACCTTTGGGGCTTAGAGGGGCTTTTTTGAACCGCACCCCCAGTTTTAAAAAGAAATCCGTTTTTAGAGGCTAGATGAATTGAAGTAGCCCCAGACCTTGAGCAGCTGTCATATGCACCCCCAGGGCCTTCTTCCAGCCACTCGTACTCCCTTTCCCACAACTGCAGGGTCGCTGCCTTTTTTGGTCCTGACCACACCCCACCCCCTCAGACCGCTGCTATTGCCGACAGTGAGTCTGAGACCGAAGCTGAGAGTTAAGTTGTAGGGACAGGGCGTTTAGCTTCCGGTGATGTGCTGGTACGGCCTCCCTGGCTACCTTTCCAGGACGGTCTCGGGACCAGCTTTGTGTGGGCGGCTTCTGCCTCCACCATCCAGATAATAGACCTGAGAAATGGGAGACAGCCCGTGGGTCCTCACAAGGGTGGGACGGGAGTGAAATGCGTTTAAAAACGCTGAAAAGTGAGGGGGGAAGGCTTCCCAGCCCCCCTTGTTTTTAAAGACTACCTCTGTTTCCAGTTCAGTCTGAAGCTGCACGAGCATTACTTTGTAAACCGGGTGTTGACGCCCTTTCTACTTCCTTACAACGCATCTCGACGAATCCCTTGTACGTTGAAACGTTTCTCCATTTAGAAAATTCTTACTAAGTCCTCCTCTGGTAACTGGCACGATTTAGCTGCATTTTCCTCTCTCTAACCCGAGAGAATGGCTGAGATGTAGTCCCAGGGACATCGGATACCTTTGCTAAGTCGTGCTTGTCTGTCAAGGACCCTTGACTGCAGTCCCAGTTACTCCTTGGATGTATTTCCAGCAGCTTCCGCAGGTAGCAGTCACTGAGCCACGTGGTGCTGCGCTGTGCACGGGAAAGAGGCAAGCATGGCTGGTCGCTAGCCTCTTGCCCTCTGGAGGCAGCCGGAGCTACTGGCCCAGGGCCTTGTCCGCATCTCTGCTTTATGGACCTAGTCGGTCAGCAGCAGACTCGCACCGTCAACCACTCTTCAGGGTCTAGAGCCAGGGCTGTGGCAGCTGTGTTGGGCCAGTGTGCCTCCGTTGAGTTCTCTGATGTAATCCTCACAACGGCCCCATCAGGACTCACGGTCACTGTCCCCGTCTTGCGGATGAGAACACCGAGGTTCGGAGGAGCAGGGTGGCTTGCCCGAAGTCACACGGCTCTCCGAGTGGCAGAGCCAGGGCTGGAGCCCAGCTGGTGCTGAAGTGCCCGCCGAAGCCCCGCCCCCGTCTGCGATACCTTCCTTTCCTCGAGGCCGAGGAGCTCCGTGGCTCACAGACACGATAGGGTTGGGTCTGACGGCATCTTGTCTTGGGATTTTTCCCTCTGGTGAACCCCTGCTCCAGCTTCAAGGGTTGGTCCAGACGCCTTGTCTGTGAGCTGCCCTGGAAAAGCTGGTCCCTTTCAGGCTGTGGCAGCGTCACTCGATAAATAGCCAGGCTGCCGCGTCTACCTCTGGGTTGTGCGTCCTTCGAGGGCCTTGCCTTTTAGCTTTGTACCTCCATCACTCTCCATCACGGCCATTCATAGCCTAGGAGGGGCTTCATTTATACGTGCAACAAATATTTATTTATTTTTAAAGTTTACATCCAAGTTAGTTAGCATGTAGCGCAATGATGATTTCAGGCGTAGAATCCAGTGGTTCGTCCCCTGCAACAAATACCTATCGAATGCCTGCCTCAGGCAGGGCTTGTGCGGGGCCTGGGGTTGTAGCGGCAAACATGGCTTGCAGGTTTCTGTGGACAGTAAAGAGGTCATTTCAAAATGTGCTAACCACAAGATAAGCGTGCCGATGTGACAGTGACCGTGCGAGTGTCAGGGGCCTGGCGCTGGCGGGGAGAGAAGAGCAGTGGGGGGGACTCCTTCAGGTAGAGAAGACTCTTCTGAAGACCCGAGATTTTTGCTGGGACCTGAAGTCTGAAACGAAGTGAGTCCTGTGAAGAGCCTGGGTGCGGGGCGAAAGCCTCGAGGCTGCGGTGTTTGGGAAGGACAGGGAGGTCGGTGTGGCTGGGGCCGGCCGCAGCAGAGCCGGGGAGGGGAGGGCGGTCAGACGGTGGCAGGGGGCGGGTTGCGCGGGGCCCCCGGTGCCCTGGGCCGGAGGGGGGTTTCTACTCGGTGTGCAGTGGGGGAACCACTGGAGGCTTTAGAGGCACCCACTGTGACCTGATTTGTGTGTGAACGGCACGTGCTGTACCCGAGGGACCGGAACCGGGCAGAGGGAGCAGAGAGGGAAGTGGAGAGGCCAGAGCAGGTGTCCGGGCCGGGGATGGCCTGCCTCAGAGGCAGGGAGGCAGAGAGGGTTGGGGCAGGGGAGACAGAGTCCTCTGGGATTCGGGCTTCGTCTCGGGTAGAGGACCCGCTGCACCGGCCGGGGGGGAGGGGGGGAGGGGGCTGAGTCGGGGCGAGTCCTGGAGGGAGGGTCTCCTTGCGCAGGTGCCTTTCCGGCAGAAACGTGAAGGATGAGAAGGGGCCCTGTGTGAAGATGTGGGCCGGCTGCTCAGGCCGGAGTGCAAAGGACAGGCCTGAGATGGGAAACAAGGAAGGAAATTGTGAGCCGGGCTATAGCGTGGACGGGCCTTGAGGACATTGTGCTGAGTGTAGCAAGCCGGTCACAGAAGGACAAATACTGTGTGATTCCTTCTGTGAGTTTCTGAGAGTGGCCAGATTTTGAGAGACCGAGAGTGGAATGGTGGGTGCCCAGGCCCAGGGAGGAAGGGGCTGGGAGTTGATATTTGACTGGAACAGAGTTTCAGTTGGGGAAGCTGGGACGGTTCGGAGAATGGGCCGTGGTGACGGTGACACGACGTGTGGACGTACCTAACCCTATGGAACTGTACGCTTCAAAATGGTTAAAGCCGTAACGTTTGTGTGATGTGTTTGTTTTACCACCACCACAACAAAAGTAGGCGGGGCGGAGGTCAGGGCCATGTTGACAAAGCTGAGACAGGCTGGGAGGTGGCAGGTGTGAAGGCAGCCCTGTGCCCCAAGCTTGCTTTCCTTTTCTCTCCCCTTGAGCCCCTTAGTCAAAGGGCCTTTACGGGGAAAGTGTCGGGGAGGTAGCTGTCGATGGGCTGAACCTTGAGAAGGTGGGGGGCAGATTCTGCCCCAGTGGCTGCAGGTGTGCCTGGTGGTCCACGCAGGGCGGTTCTGATGCGGCCCCAGCCTCCTCGGGCCTCTCTGAGGCAGCTTTGCCCTGTGACAGGATGCCCACGAGTTATTCCACGTCATTACCTCGTCCTTGGAAGATGAGCGGGACCGGCAGCCCCGGGTCACACATTTGTTTGATGTGCACTCCCTGGAGGTAAGTCATTAATCCTCTCAATACGTGTATGTGGTTCGTGCATATTTAATAGGTATAGGGGGCACAAGTGTAATCTTTGCACCACTTTCAACTCCACAGTAAGTCTCGGGGCGCCTGGGTGGCTCAGTCGGTTAAGCATCCGGCTCTTGGTGTCGGCTGAGGTCATGATCTCACGGTTGTGGGACCGAGCCCCGCATCGGGCACTGTGCTGGGCTCGGGCCCTGTTTGGGATGCTCTTTCTCCCTCTGCCCCTCCCTCCGTGCGTGCATGTGTGTTCACACTCTGTCTCTCTCTGTCCAAAAAAAAGTCTCAATAAAAATTACTAGTGGGAGTGGGGCTGGGGGATTGTCTTAAGCTGTAAACTTTGCAGTTGGTGACTTTGGTTAGGGTACCAAGCCTCTTTAAAATGATTCATCACTACGATTTGTATTGGCTTTGAGAAGAAAAGGTATTTCTTCCCCCTTGCCCCCCATCTAATCTAGGGAACAAGGAGCCATAGGAATGCTAAATGAATCCTCATTTCCCTAGAACACTATAGATATTAGGGAGTTGGTAAAAGTTAACTAGCAAAGGGATGGGAGGGAATATTCCAGAGAGAGGAAGTGTGTTTTGATTGCATTTGATGATTGGGTACAGTCACCAACCAGAGAGGATCACCAGGGCTACTTTTAGGATCTCTTGTTAAAAGTCGGGTTTAAGTGGCGCCATCAGCAGAGAAGCTTGTAAGCTTTAGGAGCCGCGTGAGGGTGTAGAAGGGATTGCGGCTGGGTTTTCAGTCTGTTTTCATTCTTCTTTTTTCCCTACAGCAGCAGCCAGAGATAACTCCTAAACAAATAACCTGCCGTACGAGAGGTAATCATTCCCCTTGAACTGTAACACAGAAGATGGGTACTTTTGAGATGTGACAATGAGTTGTTGTTTAAGAAAAATTGTTTGTTTTTTTTTTTTTCTGGTGACATCCAACCCAGCTTGAACTGTGCGTACTTGCAAAGGAACTTGTGTTTTGGGAACAGCTTTCCATTGTTCGTTCGGACCATCTTGAATCGTTCCCCTCACACCAGGGCCTTGCTTGGTTTCCCGCTCCGAACAAAAGTAACGGACCTATTTCCACCTCAGACAAGGGTTTTCTTTCTACCTTCTTGCCTTGATCTCACTCGAGGAACTTAATAAAGCTGAAACTGTCATGTCCGCAGCAAACGATCACAGTCCTCCTTAGAAGGAATTGTTTTCTTAAGACCTAAACTTAAGAGGGGGGAAAAATAAGACAAACTGATTCCTTTGTGCATCAGTAGTAATAATAACGATTAGCTTTTGAGCCCAAGACCAGGTGCCAGCGGCTGCAGCATCTTAACGAGGCTCACAGAGATGAGGTGACACAGCTGGGACCCAGCGCAGGGTAGCCCGAGTCTAGGGTGTGTGTTTTCTGACTAGCACACCACGCTCTTTATTGCTCTAACTCCCATCCTATCAAAAAAAATCCCAGTTTTTCAGAACTTGCTTATTCTGATGGCTTTCAGACGTTTATCTCACTTTCTAGAATGTTGCCTTGTGGTATCCATCTTTGGACATTGCAAACATTTTAAAGTGAATGTGAAAATCCATTATTCAACACAAATTCCTTTTTTTTTTTTTTAATTTTTTTTCAACTTTTTTTATTCATTTTTGGGACAGAGAGAGACAGAGCATGAACGGGGGAGGGGCAGAGAGAGAGGGAGACACAGAATCGGAAACAGGCTCCAGGCTCCGAGCCATCAGCCCAGAGCCCGACGCGGGGCTCGAACTCACGGACCGCGAGATCGTGACCTGGCTGAAGTCGGACGCTTAACCGACTGCGCCACCCAGGCGCCCCACAAATTCCTTTTTTAAATGTGGCTGTACCCATTATACGGAAACCACATTTAAGGACCTGTATTAATTCTCCTGTGAAAGGGAACGGGTTGTTTTGTTTTGTTTTGTTTTTTTTTTGATGGAAGTCAGTAAGGAAAGCTATTTCAGTTTACCTTCCAGGAACGTTTTTTTCTAAAGAGGGGAGTTCCTACCACGTACTGAAAAGGAAGGTGAATTTTGAGGTTGGTACCAAGGGGCTGGAGGTGGCATATCCAGACGTGTTCTGTGTTCCAGGGTCACCTCACCCCACGTCCAATCACTGGAAATCCCAGCATCCCTTCCATGGAAGACTTACGAGCAACATGGTCTGCAAACACTGTGAGCACCAGGTAATTACAGTAGCAGAACTTGATATTTTCTATGGTTTTCTTTCAAGTTAAGATTCGTGAAGCATCTGGAGAATGGACTGACATTGGTATATGGCGTTTGTGATCGCCTGGGCTCTGCACACATAGTGGACTGACCGCCTCCCTTTAGTCAGTGTCAACCTGTCCTTTGACCCTCAGGGGCATTTTCTGCACTAATGGCAGACCCATTGTGGATTGGCAGGAATTCGAGTCTCAAGGCTGGGTCTCTATTGATGGTAGACACAATAGATTCTCTTGCTTGGGGGTTGTTTTGTTTTTGTTTTTTTTGCTTTGATGTTTTAAAATAACTTTTTAGGGGCGCCTGGGTGGCGCAGTCGGTTAAGCGTCCGACTTCAGCCAGGTCACGATCTCACGGTCCGTGAGTTCGAGCCCCGCGTCGGGCTCTGGGCTGATGGCTCAGAGCCTGGAGCCTGTTTCCGATTCTGTGTCTCCCTCTCTCTCTGCCCCTCCCCCGTTCATGCTCTGTCTCTCTCTGTCCCAAAAATAAATAAACGTTGAAAAAAAAAAAAAAAACAAAGCATACTACAAAACCTTTAAAAAAAAAATAAAATAACTTTTTATTTGGAAAATTTCCGACATAAATACAAAAATGGAGAATTGCGTAATTAGCACCTTGATCCATTTTAGGATATTTTCAACCCCCGCCAAAAACGCCCGTACCCATTAGCAGTTTTTCTCCATCTCCCCCACACTTGTAGCCCCTGGCGACCACTGACCTACTTCTGTCTCTATAGATTTGCCTCTTCTGGACATTTCATATACACGGAATCGTACCATATGTGGTCCTTTGTGACTACCTTCTTTCACTCAGCATCATGTTTTTCTTTTATTCTCTTAATATGGTGAGTTGCAGTGATTGATTTTTCTAATGTTAAACCAGCCTTGTGTTTCCAGAATAAACCCCGCTTTATTGTGATGTATTCTTTTACATATATTACCGGGTTTGGTTTGCTAATATTATCTAAAGGAGATTAGTGTCTGTGTTCGTGAGGAATATTGGTCTTACGGTTTCTTGTAATGTCTTTTGTCAGGTTTTGTTATGAGGATTATACTATACTCATAAAATGAGCTGGGAAGTGTTCCTTCCTCCTGTTTCCTGAAGGACTTAGGTTAAGCTTGGTATTGTTTCTTCCTTAATTATTTGCTAGAATTATCTGTTTTTCTTTCTTTCTTTCTTTCTTTCTTTCCTTCTTTCTTTCTTTCTTTCTTTCTTTCTTTCTTTCTTTCTTTCTTTCTTTCTTTCTTTCGTCTTTTGTTTAATTTTACTTGTTTTAATTTACATCCAAATTAGTTAGCATATAGTGCAACAATGATTTCAGGAGTAGATTCCTTAATGCCCTTTACCTGTTTAGCCCATCCGCCCCCCTCCCCCTCCAGTAACCTCTGTTTGTTCTCCATATTTATGAGTCTCTTCTGTTTTGTCCCCTTCCCTGTTTTTAGATTATTTTTGTTTCCCTTCCCTTATGTTCATCTCTTTTGTCTCTTAAAGTCCTCCTATGAGTGAAGTCATATGACTTTTGTCTTTCTCTGACTGACTAATTTCACTTAGCATAATACCCTCCAGTTCCATCCACATAGTTGCAAATGGCAAGATTTCATTCTTTTGTTTGCCAAGGAATACTCCATTGTGTATATATACCACATCTTCTTTATGCATTCATCCCTCGATGGACATTTGGGCTCTTTCCATACTTTGGCTATTGTCGATAGCGCTGCTATAAACATGGGGGTGCATGTGTCCCTTCGAAACAGCACCCCTGTATCCCTTGGGTAAATACCTAGTAGTGCAATTGCTGGGTCGTAGGGTAGGTCTGTTTTTAGTTTTTTGAGGACCCTCCATACTGTTTTCCAGAGTGGCTGCACCAGCTTGCATTCCCATGTTTTTCTTTCTTTCTTTAGTTTTATTTTCGTAGAATTTCTTGTGAGGCTTTGCTATTAGGTATATACATATGGGCTGTTACGATGAGTTGACTCTTACTTTCCTGATAAAATGTCCTTCTATGTCTTTGGTAAGCCTCCTTGTTTTAATAGTCTATTTCGTCCCATTAGTTTCTAACTAGTGTTTCTATAGGATATCTCTTTTTGTTCTCTAATCTATCTATCTATCTATCTATCTATCCTCTTATTTTTTTTAAGTTTATTTATTTTTGACAGAGAGAGACAGAGCGTGAGTGGGGGAGGGGCGGAGAGAGGGAGACACAGAATCTGAAGCAGACTCCGGGCTCTGAGCTGTCAGCACAGAGCCTGATGTGGGGCTCGAACTCATGGACCTCGAGATCATGACCTGAGCCGAAGTTGGACACTCAACCGGCTGAGCCACCCAGACGCCCCTCTATTCCCTTATTTTTGAGCTAATTTTTGCCTTTGTATTTGAAGTGTAGCTTTTGTAGACAGCATATAATTGGGTTCAGTTTGACAATTTGCCTTTTGATTAGTGTGCTTAGTCCATTTATGTTGAAACGTAAGTATGTGGTTGGACTTAAGTCTGTTAGTTTACCGTTTGTTTACTGTTTGTCTCATAGAATTTTTTTGTTCCTCTGTGCTTCCTTTCCTGCCTTCCTTTCGGTTAATTGAATACTTCTGAGTATTCCATTGTAATTCCTCCATTGGCTTTTTAGCTCTACTTTTTTACATTGGGAGGGTGGGTGTGTGTGTGTGTGTGTGTGTGTGTGTGTGTGTGTGTGTGATTACATCATGCAATTTTCATGTATCCTGGTCTATTTAGAGTTAATATACTCCCTGTATACAGGAAACTTACAAAAGTAGAGTTCTATTACCCCCTTTTCTGTAGTATTTTTGTCATATATATTACGTCTACATATTACAAACTCCACGATAATGTCATAATTTTTGCTTTAAGCAGTTTATGTGTTTAAAAGAAGTTTTTGAAGAAATGTTTTCTATTTACCATTCTCGGTGTTCTTTGGTCCTTTCTGTAGACGCAAGTCCATTTGATGTTTTTCCCCTTCAGCCTAAAAAGATTCCTTTAACATTTCTTAGGTCTATTGGCAACAAGTTTATTTAGTTTTCATTTACATGAAAAGGCTTCCATTTTGCCTTTTTTTTTCTTTTTTTTTTTTTTTTAATTTTTTTTTTTCCAACGTTTTTATTTATTTTTGGGACAGAGAGAGACAGAGCATGAACGGGGGAGGGGCAGAGAGAGAGGGAGACACAGGATCGGAAACAGGCTCCAGGCTCTGAGCCATCAGCCCAGAGCCTGACGCGGGGCTCGAACTCACGGACCGCGAGATCGTGACCTGGCTGAAGTCGGACGCTTAACCGACTGCGCCACCCAGGCGCCCCTCTTTTTGAGAATAGTTTTGTTAGATACAGATTCAGGGTTGCTGTTGTTTTGGTTTGCTTTAATTTGATTTGTTTGCTTTTTTGACTGAACTAATTCGGCACGTCTGTTTCCAGCCATGGTGTCTCATTAGGACATGGATGACCACAAAAACTCATCTCAGTCTGTGGAAGGGAAGACCAGCCAGGCAGGGCACGAAGGATTGCTTCGCATCCGCTTACAGTGCAGGAAAACCCTTGTGTCCAGATACCTCCCACAGTTGACTTGCTGTTTTACAATGCCAGGGAAAGGAAGGGAAAAGGGGAAGGTCTAGGTGAAGAGTTGTAGGGGAAGAAAGGCCTTCAAGGAGGCGTTACTGTGGCGTCTCTCTGTGCCTTGCTGATGAGCTCCGAAAAGCGCATTACTGGGGCGCCTGGGTGGCTCAGTAGGTTGAGCGTCCAATTTCAGCTCAGGTCATGATCTCGCAGTTCATGGGTTCCAGCCCCGCATCAGGCTCACTGCTGTCAGCGCGGAGCCTGCTTCGGATCTTCTGTCCCTTTCTCTCTCTGCCCCTCTCCTACACTCTCTTTCAAAAATAAATACACATTAAAAAAGAAAACGCATTACTTCTTGAGCAACCTAACAGGGACAGAAGGAACCTCACAGCTTTACCTTGGGCTGTAGCTGGTGAATTTCCAGTAATTGTTCTAGATAACAGAGTCCTCCTTCTCTCTCCTTGCTCCCCACTCTTCCTGCCCGCCCCTTCTGATCCCGCCACGGCCACCTGTGGTGTTTGAAGCAGTCTACAGATTACACTTGAGCATCAGGCAAAGAATAACTGAGTAAGCCACTGAAGCAGAAAGATAGGCCCGGAAGTGGATTCATGGGAGTGACATCATCCCTTGGGGGGCGGAGCGGAACCATCGTAGGCTGCTATTTGAGCTCCCACCGTCTTCCCCACCGAATGCCCTCCACCCTGCCAGTCAGAGCCCCCTGAGGACATGAGCCGTGCCCCAGCCTCACAGACTGGCAGAGCCAGGGCCCAATCTCTTAGCGCGAATTCCACCCTCCATTCTCTCTCCTGCCGCCCCCTACCTCCAAACTGTGGAAGGGGCGGCCCCCACGCATGCCTTGTTTCCTTGCAGTTCACCACTTTGAAGGCATTGTTCTGTGGTCTTCTGGCCTCCAGTTTTTCTAACGCGCAGTCGGCATGATTCATACCGTTCTCCTGTAGGTACAGTGTCATTTTTTTTTCTCTGCCTGCTTACAAGGTTTTCTCTTTATTTTTGAGTTTCAGCAGTTTGTCCATGCTGTGCCCAGGTATGGTTTTCTTTGTATTTGCTTGGAATTTGCTGAATTTCATGTATCTATACATGTCTTCCACCAAACTTGTACATATTTTTTGCCATTAATTTCCCCCCAAATTTTATGCCCCTTTCTCTGCTTGTTGGCTCGCGTGGTACTGTTCCACAGCTCACTGAGGCTTGGTTCGCTTTTCTTCAGCCTCTTTTCTCCATGTCCTTTAGATGGGATAATTTCTGTTTACTTGTCTTCGAGTTCACAGACTCCTCGCCATCGCCATTTGTGTGCTTGTCCAGCAAAGTTTTCATTTTGGTTACTGTGCTCTTGGTTGTATAATTTCTTTTTAGTTCTTCATAGTTGCTGGATATCTACCGAGACTGCCCGTTTGTCCTCCACCAGGACTAAATAACTCTCTCCTTTGTGTCCTTGAGCATGTTTGTCATAGTTCTCGCTAAGGTCCTTGTGCTCATATCAGTATCCAGGTCAATCCGTAGGGTCCTTCACCATGGCTCACAGTTTCTTCTTTCTTCGTAGTATATGTCTACTCATTTCTTATTGCATATTAATTAACATCGTAGTAGAGACTTTGGATTCTGTTACGTTTCTCTAAAAAATGAATTCTCTTCTGGCGTACAGTTAACTTGGCTGAGCTCAAAGCCCAACTGTCTTCCCCACATCGGGCAGCAAAATCTCTGCTGAGTGTTTTCAGCTTCTAGCTTCTGCTTTTTGCCAGGCCCCTGGAGTTTGCCCGCATGTCTGGTGTGGGTGTGCACACCGGCGTGTGCCTGCCTTGGAATTGGGCAGGGTTTATACATTGATCTGGGGGTTCCTCCTCTCTGTGGCTGTCCTCTTTCTGGGATTTCCTCCAGCCTCTTTCCCAGCCCTGAACTCAGTCCTCTGATACCTCCATCCTGTAAGACTGCTGCTTTTTTCCACTCAACACTGAACTGCGAGACTGGGGAGCACCCCCGGGCAACAAGTCACACAGTGGAAATCTCCCCACGGAGTTCCTGTTTTCCCAAGCGTTGACGGTAGCTCTCCAGTTGCCGTGTTTTGTTTTGGTCCAAAATTTGTATGCGTTATCTCAGGACAGCTAGTCTAGCCAAGCTACTCTGTCATCACCAACAGCAGGAACTCTTACCCTGTTTTATCATCTGGTTTTTTGTTTTTGTGTTTTTTTTTTTTTGCAACTAATACTGTAACAGGCACATCTTTCTGTATACTCATACGATTCTTCTATACTGTTTTTAATGTGGACATGATGTAATTTATTTAGTCATTCCCTAGAAACTTCAGTTATTCACATTGTGCCAATTTAAATAATGCTGTGATGAACATCCTTGTAGTTTTGTCCAGGGTTATTTCCTGAGGATAAAATCCCTACATTGCTGGGTCAGGTATGTTCTGTAGTTACCTTACAAGCTGTGCTTCGGTATTACTGTGCCCGTTACGTTGACAAGGTTGTTTGTCCTAGAATTTGCTTCTGGGTAAGTACACTGTGTTCCATTATGGAAATGTTGGGCATCTAAATATTAAACTGTTTCATAGGCTTGTGTCTTCCCATCTGTAAAGCTTTGACTTGAACCCTCATCCTTTCTGGATTTTCTGCACTGTTTGTTTCAGAGTCCCGTTCGATTCGATACCTTCGATAGCCTTTCACTGAGTATTCCAGCTGCCACATGGGTACGTATTGCGCGATGGTTTATTTGGCGTCTATCTTGGAGACATTTAAGTCTGAAAGAGCTTTGAGGCATTTTGTGTAGCTGAGGTGCTGTGCGTTACTCAGACGCTTGGTTGGCTGAACCTGTCTTAGTTGTCGTGTGTGGTACCATGGCCCGATGTGGGGGGAGAAGAAAGTGGATGGTTTTTCTCTGGCTGCAGGAATTTTGGCTTTTTTGAGTGTACATACACGTGTTACTCTCAAAGTAGAAGGCCTTAAGTTTCTACAATGTTACGTAATAGCTCGTAGGAGCAGGCCTAGGGTACCTTGAGCTCCACTTTGCTCAGGGAATGTCCAGTAGTATCTGTGAAGCTTTATTGGCCATAAAAGCAAATAAAGCTCTGGGATGACACTGCCATCTGTTAAGAGTTTCAGTATAGCTCTCTTTTAAGTTGTAATCGTGAATTTTGTTTTCTGGTGCTTCAGGGGCATCCACTGACCCTGGACCACTGCCTTCACCACTTTATCTCATCAGAATCAGTGCGGGACGTCGTATGTGACAACTGTACGCAGGTATGGCCCTAAGCCCCAGTGTCACCCCCTAGGCCTGTGTGTCCTGATAGAGCGCCTCTCACAGCAAGCTCTTCTGACTATGCCCGGATGGTCGTTTTAGCCACAGTCACGTAACTTGGCTGGGAAATCAGTAGCCCATGGACCAAACCTCTTTTCTGGATGAGTTTTACTTCATCCACAGAATGTTTACAGGAAGACTCTGCTATGCTTTGAGACAGGACGTATGCCCCCCCCCCCCCAGCCCCCTTGTCTCACGCCCTGCTGTACTGACGCTTACCTGCCCTGCCCGACTCCCATAAGCATTTGTGTTTCGTCCTCTGAAGAAGAGGAACTGTGTGGAGCAGAATTTTTGAAGACACAGAATAGGCGACGTGCCCACGTCAGAGTTCTAGCGTTGCTGCCTCACTTCTCTTGCCCCCTCTGTCACTGTCGCTTGACGACTAAAACTGACAACAGGTCACGATTAACTGGGGGGCTGAGCTCCTTCAGCAGGGTCAAAGTCGGGCGCCAGCTGAATCCAGGCGGAACACCGGCCGGCCCCGCGGCTTGCCGCAGATGTTGCATTACAAGAAATTCTGCAGAGAGGTTTCTTTCATTTCAGATTGAAGCCAAAGGGACGTTGGATGGGGAGAAGGTGGAACACCAGAGGACCACCTTTGTCAAGCAGCTGAAACTAGGGAAGGTGAGCCCACGCCACACACCTTGTCGGCCTAGCTCTCAGGGACCCGCCGGGTCCCGCCCCCAACAGCCTGCTGCCTCGGTTTCTCTCGCCCGCAGCTCCCTCAGTGTCTGTGCATCCACCTGCAGCGGCTGAGCTGGTCCAGCCACGGCACGCCCCTGAAGCGCCATGAGCACGTGCAGTTCAATGAGTTCCTGATGATGGACATCTACAAGTACCATCTCCTGGGGCACAGACCCGGGCAGCACAGCCCTAAACCCGGCGAGAGCGCGGGGCCCTCGCTCAACCTGCAGGACGGGCCGGCCGCCCCCAGATCAGGTGCGTGCCCCAGGAGCCGACGCATGGAACGTGCGGCACAGAGAAGAGGGATTTGGTGTCACCGCCTTCTGGGGCCCTTGTGCCGCGAGGGAGCTTGTCCGGTCGTGGCTTAAATACCTGATAACGGCAGCACTGAGTGTGTGAGGGGGAAGATCCCTTTAAAAGAGGGCAAACGTCCATAGTAATGAGATGTATGGTTTTAAAAACGATAAATCATAGTTGAAAAAATTTGGGAAGACAACCTTAACGTCGCATTCTGGTCTTTTGACTGAATGCTCGTTAGCTCTGAGCAGTCCAGTGAATTTCTTCCCCCAGTATGGTCATCTCGTTTATACAGGTGATGCGGGGAGGGAGGGTCCTGGCTGATGATCACTGACTTCTTCGTTACTGAATTCCTTATTGATCTAGTTCCACTGCTGTCCTCACCAGAGATGAATAATGGAGTCGGGCCCCAGTACCGCAGGTAGCTCTTGGGACCCTCAGCCCCGCTGAGGGGAAAATCGGAGGCCCCAGGAGGCGAAACGACTGGTCGGAGGGCAAGCGTTAGTCCATTGGGAGAGAACCAGAGGTAGTGATGGGCAGGTTTTTAAATTTGTTTTACTTTGAGAGAGACAGAATGCATGTGGGGGAGGGGCAGGGAGAGAGACAGAGAATCCCGAGTGGGCTCCACATCCTCAGCGCAGAGCTCACGTGGGGCTTGAACTCCTGAAACTATGAATCATGACCCGGGTGGAAATCAAGAGCTGGGAACTTAACCGACTGAGCTACGCAGCTGCCCCAGCGTTGGGGAGTTTTTAAAAGCTATCTTATGTAACACATTGAGCTCTTTAGAATTAAATAGATGAGGAAAACCCATAGACTCTAAGGGCTCTGAGCCCACACTCAGCCCCCACATTTGCTCCCAGTCAAGCCAGAGGGCTGTCTTCCCCGCACCCCAGATGCTCCTGACTCAGCGTCCTTTACTGCTTTTATTCCTTCTTGCATCCATAGTTGTGTGGCCTGGCAGGACATCATTCACAGGGAGACTGTATTTTGCCTTTTCTCAGTTGATCAATAGATGAACGTCAGAAGCAGCTGTAGTGGGAAGAGGGCTCAGTCTTAGCCGCTGTTTGAAAAATTTTTTTCTTAATGTTTATTTTCGAGAGAGACAGAGCTTGAGCAGGGGGAGAGGCAGAGAGAGAGGGAGACACAGAATCCGAAGCAGGCTCCAGGCTCTGAGCTGTCAGCACAGAGCCCGACATGGGGCTCAAACCCACAAGCCACAAGGTCATGACCTGAGCCGAAGTCGAACGCCCAACCGACTGAGCCACCCAGGTGCCCCTTAGCTTCTGTTTTAAATCAAGGGCTGCCTCACTCTGGGTTCTTCCTTTCCTGGGGGGAGCAGGGGGCGGGGTGCAGGTCTGCTAGTCGTCACAGCATGCTGGCTATGGCCACCATATGACCCACAGTGACTGACTTGGTACTTACAGGCCCCCAAAAATGACCCATGAAAGGAAAAAAGACATCAGCATCTCCTTCATTATTTTACCTGTATCCATAAACATTTATTAACGCTGTTACACGTTGGTATTCTTTAGAAGCTGGCAACTAAAGAAGAGAGAATGTTTAGATCGGTGGTTCTTACCAGGGAATTTTGTCCCCCAGGAGACTTTGGGCAGTAGCTGGTAGCGTCTTTGGTTGCCACAAATGGGAGACAGGTGTTACTGGCATCTGGTGGATAGAGGCCAGGGGTGCCAAGAAACATCCTGCCACACGCAGGACAGCCCCCGCCACAACCAAGAATTATCCGGCCCACGTGTCAGTAGCGTCCAGGTTGAGAAAGCTCGGCTTTGTCGACATGTCAGTAAATTAGCTACAGCTTAACTCTGGCACGTCTTTAGCAAACAGGGATCAGGGATAGGAGTCTTTAAGGTTCACAGAGCTCTCAAAGTGAACAGCAGACCAGGAGCTGGACACACGTTTTCTACTTGGGATTAAACAGTCAAGGACAAAAAGGACATTTTATCAATCAGCATCGCACAAAATGAAATACTTGGTTTTTTTTCTTTGTAGCATTGCTGGGGAGTTAAGCTCAAGGTAATCAAAGCCATGTTTTGTTTACCCACAGCTACTGCGACTTGTAATTGCCTTGGGCCTTTTTCTCTTGCAGTTTTGAATCAGCCAGGGGGTCCGAAAACACAAATTTTTATGAATGGCGCCTGCTCCCCATCTTTATTGCCTACCCTGCCAGCCCCAATGCCCTTCCCCCTCCCAGTTGTTCCTGACTACAGGTGAGCCACTCTTTAGGGGCACATTCTTCATCCGTTGTCGCTGCTGTTTCTCTTGGTTTCCAAAATTAGCTTAGCACAGAAATGAATGCCAATGTGGAGGGACATTTTTCTTTCATCTTAAGGTGTGATTTCACTATTATGCATTCCTATTTTCGTCCAAAACGGAAATCACTTTAAAAATAAGAATTCTAAAAGTACGTAGAATTTAAATATATGTCTTCTGTGTATACACGTGTGAATGTATGTATAGAGTATGAAGAAGGAGATTTCAAATTTCTCAGGATACCACGTAGAGATGAGCAGTTAAATCCCTAAAGCCTTCCACTCTAAAGTTGTACGTGTGCTTACACACAGGGTACATACACTCACGGAATGGGCATCTTCCCATGCCAGTAAGTATCAGTCCCTCTTGTCATGGTTGTGTAGTAATCACTTGTACGGATGTACTGTCGAATCAGCCCCCCGTCACTGAACATCTAGGATTCTTTTACTTTTTGTTTTTGCCCGAAACCCTTTTTCCTACCGGTAAACCACTGGCATCCGTTCCTCCCATTCAGTTCCTCCACGTACCTCTTCCGGCTGATGGCGGTTGTCGTCCACCACGGAGACATGCACTCAGGACACTTCGTGACTTACCGACGGTCCCCTCCTTCGGCCAAGAACCCTCTCTCCACCAGCAACCAGTGGCTGTGGATCTCCGATGACACCGTCCGCAAGGCGAGCCTGCAGGAGGTGCTGTCCTCCAGCGCTTACCTGCTGTTTTACGAGCGCGTCCTTTCCAAGATGCAGCACCAGGGCCGGGAGTACAGGTCGGAGGAATGACCACCCCGGCTCCGGAGCTAGAGCCGTGGCACTGTCCACACGGGCCAGGAACAAGGCAAAATCGGACTGTGTGTGTGCACGCAAGAGGCCCCACTAGAGTCCTCAGCCTTCTGGTGTGTTCTAAGAGCAGGCCCCACGCAGGAGCCAGTGGCCCCAGTTCAAACCAGATCAGGCTCCCTGAATGGTGCGCACCGGACGGTGTCCTTGTGCTGGGACAGCATTCATTCTGTGTAGAACGTCTTTTTACTCACCTGCTAATTAAAAGAAATCCAACTCTGGAAGCCACCTTTTTTATATTCGGCCACATTAGGTGTTCTCAGAGGGGAGGTAACTTTGTCTAATCCTCCGATTGGTTTCAGCCCAGATCTTTTTATTTTTAATAAGCAGGCCCATAAAAATCGTTCACGAGAATTGGTGAAATTGTTAAAGGCAACAATTTAGAAGAAAAAGTGCCTTTCCCTTTCGATTGCTTTTGTAGCACGTCCATTTGGGAAAATATACGTTGTCCAAGAGTCCTATAAGCAACTTTTGGAAAGCTCTGTTCCCTCCAAGTTTCTCAACGGATGGCAACAGGACAGTTACGAGACGCCTCAAGAACACCCACCTCCTCTTTCTGTGGGTCTTTTTTAATCTTTGGATTCTTTATATGTAGTAAAAGCGCACCTGCCAGATCTGCCCCCAGGGGAAATTCTTTCACTGCTCGGTCAGTTGTGAGTGAACTCCCGGGTCGCTCTTAACTCTCTGCTTACCGTGCCCCAGAGACGGGATGACGGTACGTCCTAAAACCGCGCGAATAGCCGGGACGGGGCCGCCTCAGTGCTGGCATCTGCGCCTCCTCTGCTCTGGACAAAGCTCCACTCTGGACGGTGGTTCCTAACTCCGTGGCCCATGCAGAGCTCCTGAGGTTTACAGGTGGAGCTGGGGGCTGTGTAAAAGGACAGTCCTAGCCTTGGTTTGAGAGCTGGGTTCAGAAGGAAGGGCACTGACCGTGGGGCCGCAGTCTTTCTTTCTGAGCCTCCGTTTCCTCATTTGTAAAGTGAACACTTAAGACTCAGTGAGCATCAAAACCCCAGCCCTTCCCACAAAAAAAAGAGAAAGTTTTCAATTTTTAAAAAACGTATCATTACATTTGATCATCTAGTATCGTCATTTCGTTACAGGTCCGGACTCTATTGGTTTCTAGTAGCCTGATACAAAGACTGTATTGAGCACTCTTTTCCCTCTTTGGATAAGTCTCATGAATGCCTCTCAGGACCACAGGAAGTTTGAGGACACACAGTAGTATCTATGTTTTAGCTAGTTTTATTTAAACAAACAAACAAACAAAGATACCAAACTCAAATGGACTCCTCAGAGTTAAGATTTGGAATCAGAGCTGTCTAAAAGGTCCCCCGAGGGAAGGCTGAGGACCATGCTCCTTCTGGTGGGGGCAGGCTGGCAGGCACTTCTAGACAATGCCTGGGTGTTGGCTGAAAGCGGAAGTGGCCCAGGCGATCACCATCCCGCCTGGCCCGGCACTCACCCCCGAGGACTCCAGACTCACTACCGATTGAAAATACTGTGAAGGTTCTCCAGGCCCCGGGCATCAGGGAGAGAGGAACAGTTTGAAGCATCTGAGGCCTTCACTGCTGACGCCCCTTCCTGATTCCGTGGCAGGCCCTGGCTTTGACGCTGAACCCAGTCCACTATTTTGCCTGGGTCTGGTGGAACAAACCCCCAGTTATGTGACCTTACGTGGCGTTGCAAAGTCGCAGCTTTCGGTCACTGCTCTCCTGCCACCGCTTACTCTTTGAAGCCTGCCACTAAAGAGACACGCTGGGCACGAAAGGGGACGATCCTCTGAACGTCTAGCTGTCAGCAGATCTTTGGTCAGAGGCCAGGGTGGGAGTCAAGGTTGTAAATGTGAATGATAATCTGTGCAGTCTCTTAACCTGACTTAAAGCTGACTTCCTCATTTCGTAAATTATTAGGCATTGAGTAGCAGCCACATCATCTTATTTCTGGCTCTAAGTTATTTACAAAGTGGCTTCTCTTGGCAAAAAACTGAAGTGAAACTAGTAGTTTATGCCATAATAACTGCTGATTTATGTATTTGCTAAAGGTACCTTTTGTATCTGCCGTGTATTACAGTAATAAAAGAATCTTTTTGTTAGGAAAAAAAATCAACTGGTATTCTTTCATACTTGACCAATTTGATAAAGCCATCCTCTTTTGGAATCCTGCATCGCTGTGCAATAAGCCCCACGCTTGGATTAAGCCTCTTCTGTGTTCCCTTTTCGGAAAGGGGATGCCAGTTCCCTCCTGGAGTAGAGCGGGAGGAGAAAATAGACTTACAAACTGCTGACAAAGTTTTTACTTTTTAGTAGGCAGAATTTTGCGAAATGTCAGATTGACCCGTGGAGCTAGAATCTTCTTTCGGACGGGGAGACTGTGATACCAGTGAGTGTTGGTCGGGTGGTTCATCATAAGCAAACTTCCGTGGGCCAGCTGAAGCCTGACCACCTCCACCTTCCGGGAGGGCTGCTTCCCCCGAGAATCCTTATGCCGGAAGAAGAAATCTCTGCAGGCCCCAAAGGAGACCGAGGCTATGGGGCTCCCGGGAGCCAGTTCCCTTTCATCATCTCTGTGTTCGCCGATGTGGTCACGGCCATCTTTGTACCTGCCACGAGAAAACAAGCACGATGTACAAAACGGCTCCCTCCCGGAATGTGCCAGAACGCTTGCTGTCCTACTGCGTGAAAGGTGCGAGGAGCAGCCCCCGCTCATGGTTCTGCAGGGGCGGGGGGGCCTCCTCCGGGTGCCTGGTCTCCATTTTACCTCTTCCTATTTGATCGCTCACCTTAAAACACACCTCACCAAAAGAAGCCACGGACACGTCTTCCACTCCTCCCAGTTTGTGTATGTAAACCAGTATAACATAAGATGGTTTCTCCCTACACTTAGACTCTGCACAGATAATCGTAAGTGCCCATCTCTGAGCTCCTGGTACCCCTCTCTCCCTCACTTCTCCAGCCACATCAGTGGGATTTCCGTTCTATACGCACCCCAAGCCCCCTCTGCTCTTCCTCCAGATGTCTGTGTGGCTCATGCCCTCTCTCCAGTTAGTCTCCAACTCCAACATCAGCATCTCGGTAAGCCCTCCGCTAACCACCTTCCCCTAAACTCAGGGTTCATAAGCAGAGCGATTCTGTCCCCCGCCCAAGGGACGCCTGGCAATGTTTGGAGACACTCTGGTGGCTGCGACTGGGAAGGGGATGCCCCTGGCATCCAGTGGGTGGAAGCCAGGGATGTTGCTCACATCCTGTGATGCACAGGGCAGTCCCAAGAGGAATCATCTGGCCCGAAACCTCAGTGTCGCTGCTGAGAAACCCTGACTTAAACCCAGATCCCTTCCTCCTCGCCATTCTTTAGCAAAATCAGCCTGTTTCATTTTCTTTCAGACACTTGTCAGCATCTCGAATGATCTTGTTCAACTGTTTGTTCATCAGACAATCCCCTCTCGCTTCCCAGTGCAGCACGGGCTCCACGAAGACTGACCGTTGGTGCTGTCCCTGCTGCACTGAGGAATAACTTGTACCAATGAGTAAAATATGGTGAAATCTAAACTCATGCCTTCAGAAGAAGAAGATTTATACAGTTCAGTCCAGCAACCTAAAGAAGAAAAAGTAAAACGCAGGTAGGATGTTACCTGTTAACGAGCACAAAGTTGAAGGTCTCTCCAGTCACCGCAGAAACACGATCCCGGACGCGCTCTAGAACTGGGATCCAGGGCTTTGGAGACAGAGTAAGGCCCGAAAACGTGTAGGTCAGCCCGGGGTTGCCATAGGTCGCCTGCTTCCTGGGCACACTGTGCCACTTCCCAAACACCTGGACCCTGGCCAGCGCGCCTGTGCAGATAGAACATGGCAGCTCAGGAGGGCAGGCAGGTGAGGACCCCACACGTTTGCTCCCTGAGTATTCAGGATCGAAAGGGGACTAAATCAGGAAGTAACATTTAGTCTCCTGACCAAGGACAAAACTCCCTGTTGCCAGTCCAAAATGTTCATGTGAGAATAGTGATTCTTGTCCTACACTTACAGAAACACGGTCTTGTCCATTTTCTTTTTTTTTTTAATACCGTGACTTCATTGTCTTGCCTACAGTGGGAACGTATCAAGAGGCTGAAACGCAAGCAAGCTGAAGTCAGGCTGCACGCTAGGGTGATTCCGCCAACCGCGGGGACCGAGGGTGTGAAGCCCCCAAGAAGGTGAAATTAATGCAGCTGAGGCTGTAGGCCGGGGTCTCCGTGGGCTTTTCTATGCCTGCAAGTGCTCTGCCACCTTGCAGGCGTTCTCAGTGTGCGTTCGTGTCACCCGGCGTCACCAGGAAACAGCCGCTAGAGCGTGGGGGAGGGGCCGGTGATCCACGTTCTCCGAAGCAACAAGGTCCTCCAGGTGATGCAGAGAACCCCCGTTGGGAGGAACTACCTGGTTATTTGCTGTGTCTCCTACGAGACCAGCTGCACCTCAGAATCACCTGGAAGCTTTCTAAAAACACCGATGCCCAGGCTGCACCCCCACCCTACTGTGATTCAGTTGGTCCCGGGTAGAACGCAGCATCTTTTTTCTTATTTTTAACCTTCCCAGATGATTCTAATCAGTGGCCAAGTGGCAAGTCACTCTCAGCATCTGCCAGCTCCCGGTGGTGGGTGGGCAAACTTTTCTCCAGTTTGTGTCCCGAGCGCCCAACAAGGTGCCTGGCCCAAGAATAGGTGTTGAATCAGTAAATGAAGTCACCCGTAACCAATGGCTCCCGAGTTCGTTACTTCTCCAAACACAGACCGCTAGTTGTATCAAACAAGTCTTCAACACACACGGTCCTCTGCTTACCTGTAAAATACTTCACTTCCCGCTCCAGCTCCTGGAAAATCTTGTCTGCTTCGGCTTTGCCAAACAGGACTGTGTAATCACAGCTCAGGCCCTCAGCCCGGATGTGCTGCCAGCTGGGGCCGGCCTGGTGGCCTGCATTCCCCGGGGTCTCCGCCTTCGGCCTTTTCCTGCCACCCTCCTGGTCCGCTTGCAGGCCTGCTGGACCTTCTCCGCTCGCCTCTCGCTCCCTCTTTCCCAAAAGGTCCCCTAACGCCCCTTTCACCAGGAATCTGTCCATCCTGTCTCCCTGAAGCAAAGACCTGGGCGCCGGAGGCAGGGCGGAGAGAGAGATTGCCCAGGCTCGGTCCCAGATCCAAAAATCGGCTTGGTGGAGAAGTGGTCCCACTGCATTTCTCCGCGGTGCTTTCAAGTTC